GTCCAGCCTGTGGAGTGTGATGTGAAGTCTGGGAGTAGAAAGCCAAACGTGTGGCTGAGGCGGGTTACATGGATCTGGCATTGGTGGCTTCTTGGGCTGGCAGAGCAAGGCAGAACCAGTATGGGTGGCTTTCATGCCAGCCTTGAGTTATTTTTTTTTCCCTGTCAGATTTTGAAAATCCTGTTGGTGAAGTTCTTTTATTAATGAAGGCAATGGGGATGGAGGGGGGATAAATTCAAACAGTGCAAGTAAGATTGTTTGACCATCTTTTGTGCGCCAGGACCTGTGCTACATGCTTCTGCACACGTCCTGCCAGGTGGTTTAGGGGTTAGATCAAAAATGAAGTCAGAATCGAGGGATGGGGAGGGAGGGGAAAAATGAGGAGCCGATATTAAGGGCTCAAGTAGAAGGCAAATGTTTTGAGAATGATGATGGTAACAAATATACTTATGTGCTTGACACAATGGGTGTATGCACAGACTATGATAAGAATTGTACGAGCCTCCAATAAAATGTTTTTAAAAAAATGAAATCAGAATTATTATCCCGTCCCTAAGATGGGTAAACTGAAGTGGAGAGGGATTCCACCAGCTTGCTTAGGCCATTCGTTTGGGAAGTGGCAGAGCCAGAATTCAAATCCACATCTCCGTACTCAGGGGCGGTAGTGGCTGGCAGAGTCATTTCTGAAGGAGCACCGACCCGGAGCAGTTAGTGTGTTTGGAGATAAGTGGTGATGCTGGGCTTTGTCTGAAGACAGAGTCCTTAAAGGGATGCTAGTAACTAGATAGGACTCAAATCTAAAGAGGACCTGAAACCTTGAATTTCAGATTTGGTGTGTCTGGGCCCAGGGAAGGAGGAATGGTTAGTCAGAGAGTCAGTAGTTCCTCAGAGTGAGTGCACAGCGGAGTGAGTGTCAGGGCACGAGAGCTTTTTGACGTCCAAGGCTGCATGTGTGGACTGCCGGCCTCTGGTCAGAAGTCTTGTCTGATCCTCCAGGGTGGGAAGTGCTCTGGGAGGACTGAAAGCCTGCCCTCCACCCACTGGGATAATGCTGGTGACCTGTGGCCACCTGCTGCTTACTAGCACCTCTGTAAATTATTCAGGTGGTGTGTGGGCTACCCTCCTGTCAATTTCCTCCTCGCCTTGTAGTGGTCCCTGTTCCCTGGGACCCCATGTGTGCGGGGCAGGACCGCTCCACAGGGTTTTCAAGCCTGTGGGAGACTGCCAGGTCTGTCCTCTGAGGTACAGGTTTGAGCTAGGTTTGAGCTACCAACCTTTGGCTTAGTACAAAGTTGAACTGCTAACCACTCACCACCTTTTGAGTCAGGACTGATTCACAGCCACCCCATGTTTCGTTCACCCTAGTGAAGTAGAGTTGTGCCCTTGAAAGAGTTGTGTCTGCCAAGTCTGGTTGGGCATGGAAGGGCCCCTCAGATTAATAAAATAAAATGATGAAGCTGAGACCCATAGATACACCTTTGAGCGGAATCTTGACAATAATCTCCCTCACTCCCATTTTGTGCTTTGATTGTAGCAGCGAAGGAAATTTGAAAAGTGTTAAGCTCCCATCCTTATTTAAAAACCTTGGTAATTGGAGCTGATCAAGTCATTATGGTAGTAGTAAGCTCATTAGGCAACAGGATCTGAATTTACACGATACTGTTTATGGTTCCTATGAATCCTTTAACGTGAGTAATCATATTTGCTGCAGAAACATGGCTGGGTTTCATAGAGGATGCACCTCCAGGACCTCATTGCAGTTGCTTTGTAATACCATGGAGATCCAAAAAGTTGGTAGAAAACTGGAATAGAAAAATACTGGCATTCTTTCATGACCTTTTTAAGTCCCCTTGTATATGATATAAACTCCTTATTTTCTTTTTAAATTTTGAAAAAATGTAATTCTGAAAGACTTGGATTTCGGAGATTTCAGAGAAGGTCTTTCACATTGTGCTGTCTCCTTTGGGCCTCAAAGTTCTTGGGAGATGTTGGGGGATAACTGACCTCTGGCTCTCCCTTTTGAGCCTCATCTAGATGGAAACATTTCCTGTACACAGCAGAGAGGGCCTCCTCTCACCACCACTTCTGCTACCCCACTAGTCCAAGCCACCATTGACCGAACCTTCCCGCACCCCCCATGGCTTCCTAATAATCCAGAATCCTCACCGTGGCTTGTCGCCGAGACTTAGTGGTGTGGCCTCTGTTGTGCTCCTTCCATTCTCTCTGTTTGCTGTCCATCCATCTCTGTCCCTGACACTGCCTACTCTTCCTGGGGTGGGGGTGGGGTTGTGGATGCTTCACCCCCAAACAGCTGCGTGTTCCTCCCCCTTTTCTCGATATCACCTTCAGGGTCACTCAGTCCGGGGATCCTGCCCTGCTCGGTGTGTATGTACACCCTTGTTTTTCTGTCTCCCTTCCTGGCTGTCAGCTCTGGGGCACAGGGGCTGGATCTGCCTGCCCTGTTCTCCCTAGACCCTTTGGTAGTGGTTTGCTCCAGGCAGGAAGGCTTGATGCCCGTCTCTTTCCTGGTCTTGGGGCTGCAATGTTTCGGGGCTGTTTCTGTCAGTCTGCGCACCGGATTCTGCTCTTGGATGCTTCAGCCTATTTCCACTCTAACCGGTACCACCTGGGTAACGGCCTCTCTCTCTGCCTCACAGGCTTCGGGCCTCCCGGGTACTCCAGGTTGGCATGAAAGGCCTTGGAGCGGAAATTGCCAAGAACCTCATCCTGGCGGGTGTGAAAGGACTGACCATGCTGGATCACGAACAGGTGAGACGTCTGTCCCCACCCTGCTGGCCCCTCTGCTCACCCTGCCCCACTGTGCAATCCTGTTGGGTAGGTAGCGAAGCCACACCACCCCAAGGCATGGTGAGAGCCAGAGAATAGACTCTGGGAAATTCGGAATAGCCTAGGGGACTTGGTGTGGTGTGGACTCCACTCTGGCCAGTGATTCTGCTCCAGAAGGTCTGAGAAAAGGTGTCTGAGGAGATTTTGCTGGAGTTGGTTCGAATTGGGTCAGAGAGGCTGCACTCAGACTGCCTAACACAGTGTCTGGCAAGTGACAGGTCCCATGATTGCTGGTAACTATGGCATGGCACTGTGTTGATAAGATAGCAGTGCCGGATTCCAGGGTCACTCTCTGATCTGGCTTTTTCCCCAAGGTGAAAATGAATACTTTTTTTAAAAAATGAATACTTCTTTCAACACAGTGAGTGCCTTATGCCATTTCAGGAGTCCAGGCGGTGTAACAGCTGCCAGCTGAAAAGCTGGTGGTTCAAACCCACCAGCTCTGTTCTGTGGGAACAAGACGTGGTCTCTCTGCCTTGGAAATGCTGGGCAGCTATGCTTGCAGCTTTAGGGTCTCTGTGAGTAGGAGTCAACTCTGCAGGGCAGTGAATTTTGGCTTGGAATGACAGTTTAGTTTATTTCTTTTATATAGAAAATGTTAAGTACATATAAACAACAACAACAACAAAACAACTCACTGCCATCGAGTCCATGCTGACTTAAAGCAATCCTATATAGGACGGTGTAACTGCCCCTATGGGTTTCTACGACTAACTCTTTATGGGAGTAGAGAGCTCTGTCTTTCTCCCAAGGAGTGGCTGGTGGTTTCGAACTGCTGACCTTGGAGTTTGCAGTCCAACACATTACTACACCACTAGGTCATACATGCACAAGTGAAATATTGGACACCGTTTCTGTCTGGCTTCTCTTATTATTTATCTCATATTTGTCTCTGGGACAGTATTTCAAGGCAAATTCCCCAAATCATGACAGTTTAGAGGGAAAGCTTCAAGTCTAGAAGTCATTCATGCTTATTATACTTTGCATCTTTCCTGGCAGGCTCTTAGCAGGGTCTTTCCTCATGCGAAGTAACTAACATGCCCTGGCTGAGGCTGAGGCTGTGGGGAAAAGTCAATAGTAATGAAATACTTTAAAGCCTCGCCTTGTTTGGGGTTTCTGGAGAAAAATAATCCCCGGAATTATATTTTGAAATAGAATCTGGCCGCAAAATGAAGAGAGGCGTGGGTTGGCTCACTTAATATCACAGTCACAAATTGATACTTGAGTTGAATTTTAAAACCTTTCAAGGAAAAAGTAATAAATTCCTGCAGGCCAGCCTTGTGCTGACTGCTCAGGCATCTCCCATGCCACAGTGCCCCCTAGAGGCAGGAGCTCACCTTCAAAAACCAAACTGCTGCCATTCAGTTCAACCCAGCGACCCTGTAAGACCAGGTGGAAATGACCCCGTGGGTTTCCAAGACTCGGAGTCCTTACAGGAGCAGACAGCCTCGTCTTCCTCTCAGAGCAGCTGGTGGTTTTGAATTTCGGGCTCTGTGGTCAGCCCAACGTGTAACCCACTGTGCCACTCCTTGCAGCTCATCGAGAGCCTGGCTCAAACCCTGCTGCTGTCACCTTGATTCTGAATCCTAGTGGCCCTGGGAGGCACAGTAGAACTGCCCCATCGGGTTTCCAGGGCGCTCATCTCCGGGGGACCGCCACACCTTTCTCCCAAGGAGCAGCTTGTGGGTTCAGACTGGCAACTGTATGGTTAGCAGACCAGTGTTTAACCACGGTGCCACCAGGGTTCCTCTAGAGCAGTGGTTTTTAACCTGTGGGTCGCATCCCCTTT